TGCTGGCTCTCCCAATTCTGCAAGAGAGACAGGCCAGTCACAGACATGGAGAACAGTGAGTTAACAGGACCCAGGCCTGTGAGGGTAAGAGGAGGTGCACCCCCTTCTGCCCAAAACAACGGGGTGTCCCTAGAGCAGGTAACTGAGCCAGGACCTGTGAGGGAGGACGTGCAGCAGGAAGTGAACTGCAGAGGCCTGCAGGACTTCTGGTCTTGGACTCCAGTATGCAAGGGTTGGCAAACGTGTTCTGAAAAGGACCAGCTAGTCAGTATTTTAGGCTTTGCAGACCCTGCAATCCCAAATGAATGAGCGTCGGCTAGGGGTAAACGACACTGTTGAGGAAAACATGCGGAAGACAGAACCGAAGCCCTATGCTGGAAATGGCCAACCCCTCCGCAGCTCAGTGGGTCCAATCGCTTCAGGAAGATCCCTCAGGCTGCAGAGGTGAGGTTGGAGGGGAAGCAGGAAGGCGTGGCACCTGGAGGCAGGAGGCCTTGCACCGGATGAAGGAACCATAGCCTGAACCAGTGGTTCTCCACTCAGGTGTACCTGACAGTCACCCAGAGAGATCCCAAACTGCCTCATAGCCTGGCCACCCCCAGCTAATTACATGTGAATTTCTGGACATGGGAATCTGGCACTGGTGCTTTTTATAGTACCAGGGATTTCCAGTGTCAGCCCACACTGAGAACCACTGGCAACATCTAAGGAAGAAGAGGCAGAAATGTGGGAGGGAAACAAATTCAGACAGTCCCTACTTATGATGGCACCACGTAACAAAATTTTTTTTTTGAGACAGGATCTCACTGTGTCACCTGAGCTGGGGTGCGGTGGCACAATCTCGACTCACTGCAACCTCCACCTCCTGGGTTCAAGTGATTCTCCTGCCTCAGCCTCTGGAGTAGCTGAGATTTCAGGTGCCTGCCACCACACCCAGCTAATTCTTGTATTTTCAGTAGAGACGGGGTTTCACCATGTTGGCCAGGCTGGTCTTGAACTCCTGGCCTCAAGTGATCCTCCTGCCTTGGCCTCCCAAAGTGCTAGGATGACAGGCATGAGCCACCGTGCCTGGCCCACTTAACAATTTTTTGACTTTATGATGGGGTTATAGTGGGGAGTGTAACCCCGTTGTAAGCTGGGAGCATCTATATTGGGAATTTTCGGGGAGTACACAGCCTATAAAACTGCTTGGATATGAAAAAGTAGATTTGAGGGAAGAATTAACCATATCACGCCCCCTCAATGAGGGGGATTAAGTTTCCCTTCCACCTCGCTCTCAAAGAGCCCAGAGCAGTGCCTGCCATGCGCTCACCCCTGTTCTCCCTGCTCAGAACTTGCCCCTCCCCACCCCCTCTCTTTCTCTTTCTGAAATTGTGGTAAAATATAATTATAAAATTGACCATTTTAGCTACTTTTTTTTTTTGAGATGGAGTCTTGCTCTGTCGCCCAGGCTGGAGTGCAGTGGCACAATCTTGGTTCACTGCAACCTCTGCCTCCCGGGTGCAAGTGATTCTCTTGCCTCAGCATCCTGAGTAGCTGGGATTATAGGTGTGTGCCACCACGCCCGGCTAATTTTTATATTTTTGGTAGAGACGGAGTTTTACCATGTTGGCCAGGCTGGTCTCAAACTCTCAACCTCAGGTGATCCACTTGTGTCAGCGGGCTTTTTTTTTTTTTTTAGACAGAGTCTCACTCTATCACCCAGGCTGGAGTTTGGTGGCACAATCTCAGCTTACTGCAACCTCCCCCTCCCAGGCTCGAGTCATCCTCCCACCTCAGCCTCCTGAGTATCTGGGACTACAGGCGCATAGCATGACGCCCAGCTAATTTTTGGTGTGTGTGTGAGATTTTTGGTGTGTGTGTGAGTGTGTGTGTGTGTGTGTGTGTGTGTGTGTGTGTGTGGTGATAGGGTTTCACCATGTTGCCCAGGCTGGTCTGGAACTCCTGACCTCAGGTGATCCACCCACCTCAGCCTCCCAGAGTGCTGGGATTACAGGCATGAGCCACCACACCCAGCATTTTAGCCACTTTTAAGTGTACGGTTGAGTGGCATTTAAGAACGTTCACATTGCATTACATCACAGTGGCATTTAAGAAGGATCACAAGCAACACCGCCATCCATCTCCATTTCATTTTCCCCAACTGAGTCTCTGCCCCTATTAAACACCAACTCCCCCATCTTTCTCCCTCCAGTCCCGGCAACCCCCCTCCTACTTCCCGTCTCTATGAATTTGATGCTCTAGAAACCTCAGATGAGCAGAGTCGTACAGGATTTGTCCTTTTGTGTTTGGCTTACTTTACTGAACCTAATGTCCTCAAGATGCATCCAAGTTGTAGCACAGGCCAGAATTTCCTTCCTTTTTCAGGCTGAATACTATTCCACTGTGTGGCTGGAGCACATTTTGCCCATTTGTCCGTCTGTTGATGGGCGCTTGGGTTGCTTCCAGCTTTTGGCTATTGTGAACCATGGGTGTGCAAATATCTCTTCAAGATCCTGTAGTCAATTCCTTTGATTATATACTCAGAAGTAAAATTGCTAGATTTCTATACTTTTTTTTTTTTTTTTTTTTGAGACAGGATCTCACTCTGTCACCTAGGCTGGAGTGCAATAGGGCAGACATGATTCACTGCCGCTTCCACCTCATGGCTCAGGCAGTCCTCCACCTCCTTCAACCTCCCGAGTAACTGGGACCACAGGTGCACACCACCATGCCCGGCTAATATATTTTTTTAATTTTATAGAGACAGGGGTCTCACCATGTTGCCCAGGCCAGTTTCAAACTCCTGGAGTCAGGAGAGCCTCCCATCTTGACCTCCCAAAGTTGCTGGGATTACAGGCATGAGCCATCAAGCCCGGTTGATGTTTAATTTTAATCACGCCTGTAATCCCAGCACTTTGGGAGGCCGAGGCAGGCAGATCACTTGAGGCCAGGAGTTTGAGACCAGCCTGGCCAATGTGGCGAAACACTATCTCTACTAAAAATACAAAAATTAGCCAGGCATGGTGGCAGGCAACTGTAGTTTCAGCTACTTGGGAGGCTGAGCTAGGAGGATTGCTTGAACCCAGCAGGCAGAGGTGGAGATCGTGCACCTGTGCTACAGCCTGGGCAACAGAGCAAGACTGTCAAAAAAGTGTTTTTTGAAGAAATTTGCCTGTCTCTCTCACAGGACTGTGGCTTCATCTATAAATCCCTCCACAGCTGGCCATTGTCATGACTCTTTCTGGCCTATTTGGCACATGGGCTGGTGAGACTCTGTATGAAACTGAATGGTAACATTCAGGGAATTACTTCTAGCACACTTTCACTTAGTGGCAGGGGAGAGCTACAACTTGTATGGAGAACAACCCCCCAAAATTGAAGCCATTACAACTAAAGAAACTCCAGGGCAGGGGTTAAGGATGGAAGGGAGAAGTTACTAGGAAATACATTTTAGGAGCAGAGGCACCGGCAGGCCTGGGACTTGTATAGGGCAGGTACTGGTGCGGCCTAGGTGGGGAAAAATTATGCCTGTCCGTACATGACCCACCTGCCTATTAGCAGAACTTCGTTAAGAAAAGAAGAGTGTTTGGTCAGGCGCGGTGGCTCACACCTATAATCCCAGCACTTTGGGAGACCAAGACAGGTGGATCACCTGAGGTCAGGAGTTCGAGAACAGCCTGGCCAACATGGTGAAACCCAGTCTCTATTAAATACAAAAAATGAGCCAGGTGTGGTGGCAGCACCTGTAATCCCTGCTACTTGGGAGGCTGAGGCAGGAGAATTGCTTGAACCTGGGAAGCAGAGTTTGCATCGAGCAGAGATTGTGCCATTGCACTCCAGTCTGGTCAACAAGAGTGAAACTCTGTCTCAAAAAAAAAAAAAATACTTTATGAAATCGGTTTCTGGGCTATATATATTTTTTTTAAATTAAATAGGGTGGCCGGGCGCGGTGGCTCAAGCCTGTAATCCCAGCACTTTGGGAGGCCGAGGTGGGTGGATCACGAGGTCAAGAGATCGAGACCGTCCTGGTCAACATGGTGAAACCCCGTCTCTACTAAAAATACAAAAAATTAGCTGGGCATGGTGGCGCGTGCCTGTAATCCCAGCTACTCAGGAGGCTGAGGCAGGAGAATTGCCTGAACCCAGGAGGCAGAGGTTGCGGTGAGCCGAGATCGCGCCATTGCACTCCAGCCTGGGTAACAAGAGTGAAACTCCGTCTCAAAAAAAAAAAAAAAAAAAAATTAAATAGGGTGAGTGCATTCCCACTAATAAACACAATCCAATAGCTATAGGAGAAGAAGCGGAATCTGTAGTAAAAATGAGGGGTGGGGCCTGGCACAGAGGGCTCATGCCTGTAATCCCAGCACTTTAGGGAGGCCGAGGCGGGAAGATTGCTTGAGGCCAAGAGTTCGAAACTGGCCGGGTCAACATACTGGCATGCCATCTACACAAAAGAACAATTAAAAACTTAACTGGATGCAGTGCCTATAGTTCCAGCTACTGGGGAGGCTGAGGCAGGAGAATCACGTGAGACCAGGGGAAACCTGGACAAGATGGTGAGATTCCATCTCTAAAAAGAAAAAAAAAAAAAATGAGGAATGATAAAACGCTTGTTTCAAATACATTTTGTGGTGAAATCGGGTTCTTGAACGTGTGTGTTGAGCATCTCTGGGCCTGACATTTGTGGGTTCAAAGACCATTATGAGCCCCTCAGGCAAAAGGAGGAACAAAATGAATAACAAATAAGTTAGGGCAGATGGAGTTTCTGGAACTGGGGTAAGCCTGCCATGGCAGAAATGTGTGCAAGTTAAAATTAACTTTGGTAGTATATGCCAGTTTCTAATGGAAAAAAAAAAATTAACTTTGGAATACAAACGCGTTTCAAGATTCAGAATCCCCCCCCCAAAAATGCTGACAAAAATAAAAATATACGCATATTTAGCGAGGTATGAAATAGTTAAAAGAATAAATAAAATATATGCATATAGTAAAAAAATCTTACAAAAGAGTATAAAATAGCGCTTGCCTCAGCAGCACGTATACTAAAATTGGAATGATACAGAGATTAGTATGGCCTCTGTAAAAATATCTTTTTAAGTACAAAAGAAAAAGAGTTTTTTCTCTGCCAAGCTCTCCCTGGTATATCTTTCTAGAAAACAGCATTTATGTGTGCCAGTTTATTTACATGGACTATTTTTTGTATTTTTATAAAGATATTATACACACTATTCTGTCCCACCTTAGAGTTTTTTGTTTCTTTGTGGGGTTTTTATGCTTTATTTTTAACCCAAAAGAGAAAAAAACGTAGCAAGAGCAGAACGTAAACAATTAATGATGGGAAAAGGAAGAGTCCCATGAACTCAAATGCTGCTCATATGATTCCACTCAACTTTTATTTTAACATGATTTTTGAAATAAAAACATCCCTGGAGAAATTAAAAGCTCCAGCACCTACAGCTGGGGCAGAGAATGGCAAAGATCAAGCTTGCCGGTAGCTTCAAATTTCTCCCGAACACATTAGATGTGAACACATTGTCAGCAGGCTCAAGCCTCTCGCCCATCACACGGGTTGAGAAAAGAAAAACTACTCATGAGCTGTGTTTAAATGGCCTCTTCCCAGCATTCCCCCTCTTCTCATGACCAAAGGACAGAAGGAAGTATTTTGGATGTTGAAATACTACCTGGCAGGGCTCAGTGCCTCACACCTGTAATCCCAACACTTTGGGAGGCCAAGGTGGGAGGATCTCTCAAGCCCAGGAGTTGGAGACCAGCCTGGGCAACATGGCAAAACCCCCTCTCTACAAAAAATACAAAAATCAACCAGGCGTGGTGGTTCGCACCTGTGGTCCTAGCTACTCAGGAGGCTGAGGTGGGAGAATTGCTTGAGCCCAGGAGGCAGAGGTTGCAGTGAGCCAAGATCACACCACTGCACTCCAGCCTGGGTGACACAACCAGCCCCTGTCTGGAAAGAAGAGAGAAAGAAAAAGAGAAAAAGAAAAGGAAAGAAGAAAGGGAGGGAGGCAGGAATGGAGGGATGGATGGAGGGAGGGAGGGAGGGAGGAAGGAAGGAGGGAGGGAGGGAGGGAAGGAAGGAAATCAATCACCCCTGGGAGAACACAGTGGCTCACGCCTGTAATCCGAGCACTTTGGAAGTCCGAAGCGGGTAGATCACAAGGTCAAGAGATCGAGACCATCCTGGCCAACATGAGGAAACTCCGTCTCTACTAAAAATACAGAAATTAGCTGGGTTTGGTGGGATGCACCTGTAGTCCCAGCTACCTGGGAGGCTGAGGCAGGAGAATCACTTGAACCCGGGAGGCAGAGGTTGCAGTAAGCCGAAATTGTGCCACTGCATTCCAGCCTGGTGACAGATGGAAACCCTGTCTCAAAAAAAAAACAAAATAAAAGAAATCACTTCTGCACTGCTAGTGTTTCCAGAAGAGCATTTTTGGACGTGCTCTGAATGTCTGCCTCTTCGGACAGTCCTCCAGGGAGCAGCACAGATTCAACACGGCTTCCGCGGGTTGCTCATATCTTCCTAGCCTTTCACGGTAACTTTACAGACACAAAAGTCCTCTTGCGGTGGGAATGGAAATATTTATAAAAGAAAATCCTCTAGAAAATATGCAGTTAAAGTTGCCAGGCATTTGCCTAAAGTACTTCTCCAAGTTTTCTATACTGGGACAGCTGCTACATGTGAAGATATTAAATATACTGTGTTTGCTTTTCAAGATTCTCCACAATCTTGAATTTCAGGAGAAGAAATTCGTATGCTCAATGCTTGTCAAAATTTTATAATTCTATTTTTCTTACTTTTTTTTTGAGTTTTGAGACAGAGTCTCTCTCTGTTGCCCAGGCTGGAGTGCAGTGGTGCAATCTCGGCTTACTTCAACCTCCATCTCCTGGATTCAGGTGATTCTTATGCCTCAGCCTCCCAAGTAGCTGGAATTACAGGCACCTGCCACCACACCTGGCTAATTTTTGTGTTTTTAGTAGAGGTGGGGCTTCACCATGTTGGCCAGGCTGGTCTTGAATTCCTGACCTCAGGTGATCTGCCTGCCTCCGCCTCCCAAAGTGCTGGGATTACAGGCGAGAGCCACCGCACCTGTAATCCCAGCCCAGCCTAAATTTTTGTTTGTATTTTTCCTTTGATATAGGGTCTCATTCTGTTGCCCAGGCTAGAGTGCAGTGGTGCAATGTTGGCTGCTCTCCAGCCACTGCACTCCAGCCTGGGTGACAGAGCAAGACTCCATCTCAAAAAAATAAAAAAAAATAAATAAAGTGTACGGGAGGATGTGTGTAAGTTATATGCAAATACCACACCATTTTATTTATTAATTTACTTATTTGTGATGGGGCCTCACTTCCAAAATTCTGGGATTACAGGCATGAACCACTGCTGGCCACTATACCATTTTATACCAGAAACTTGAGCATCCGTGGAGTTCTCAGGGGTCCTGGAACCAAGCCCCCACCAGCGCTGAAGCAGGACTCTATATGAAGTCTTGGTACTGAATGAACAGCCCACGTCATCCTCACAGAGGCCAAATAAGACAGCCGGGGGCCAGATTTGACCCAGCCTGCAAGGCACATTCTTGTCCTAAGTGCAGGCTGTTAATGGCCATGGGGGCCTGGGCAAGTCTTCCCAGGACCTTCCCTCAAAGAGAAAGACTGACCTTTGAAGGAGGCCCATACACTCTTCTAGCACTCTCAAGGGCATCTCACTTTTTCTCCAAAACCGTGTTTGGGCCTGTAATCCCAGGACTTTTGGAGGTTGAGACACACAGATCACTTGAGGCCAGGAGTTCGAGACCAGCCTGGCCAACAGGGTGAAACCCTGTCTCTACTAAAAATACAAAATACTAAAAATGCAAAAACTAGCCAGGTAACCAGCCTGGGCAACATAGCCAGGTGTGGTGGTGGGTGCCGGTAATCCCAGCTACCCGGGAGGCTGAAGCAGGAGAATCGCCTGAACCTGGGAGGCGGAGGTTGCAGTGAGCTGAAATCATGCCACTGGACTCCAGCCTGGGTGACAGTGAGACCCTGCCTCAAAAAATATAAAAATAAATAAAAGAAAATTAAAAAGTTCAAGATTAGGCTAGGCAACATAGCAAGGCTCCATCTGCACAAAAACAAAAAATAAAAATAACCCGTATTCATATTTGCATAGCATCCATTACTACCACAAGTGCTAAGATGATGGATTGGGGGCTTCCCATCATCTTTGCGTGGATGAAACTAGATTTTCTTCCCATGAGAGAGAAGAGGTTCTGGAGAGAAAATAGTTTGATCCTTTTGGGGAACACTGAAGATGCTTCCAATAATCGTTTGGAATTGAAAGGGGGCCATGGGTGAGTGGCTTTTAAGAGTAACACTGAGTCGATTCATCTAGAACTGCCAAGCAGGCGGCAGCTGACGGAGGGGCTCCAAAGGGAATTGTTTCTGGAGACAGGGGAGGTGCAGACCGAAGGTCATGGAAGAGGCCAGCATCAAGCTTTTGACCAGAGGGAAGGAAGGATGCACTGGAGGCTCCGAGCAAACAAAGAGCCTGAGAACTGTGCCTGTGTTCTGGGATTATTTCAGCTGAGCTCCGCAGAGGCTCTGAGAACTGTTCCAGGCAACAGAGCTCATCGCAAGGGGCAGAGCTCACTCTCTTAAAAGGAGAGACTGGGCCAGGCATGGTGGCTCACGCCTATAATCCCAGCACTTTGAGAGGCTCTGACGGGAGGATCGCTTAGCTTCACGACCAGCCTGGGCAGTATAGCAAGACCCCATCTCTACAAAAAATTAGCTGAGCATAGTGGCACACACCTGGGATCCTAGTTACTTGGGAGGCTGAGACAGCAGGATTGCTTGAGCCCAGGAGTTTGAGGGCTGCAGTGAGCTATGCTCATGCCACTGCACTCCAGCCTGGGCAACAGAGTGAGACCTAGCCTCTAAAAAAAAAAAAAAAAAGAAAAAGAAAAGGAAAGAAAAAAGACTGAAGGAGAATAGACAATCCTCAATAGATGACTTCGGACACCACTTCCAGAAGACGGAGTAAGATCCGAGGCACAGCTAAGAGGCTGAAGGGAAGGAGGCAGGACGTGTTGAGGTTTGGAAGCTCCATTATTGGCGGGACACTGTGCGAGGTGTGTACACGGGTTATTTCATCAGACCTCATGCTAGCCCACTAGGCTGGGATTGTCATTTCCATTTGGCAGGTGGGAAAAGCGATGTTCAGCTTCATCACTTGCCTGCGCCGCACAGCTGGCAGCGGAGAGAGGACTGAGACCCAGGTCTGTGTGATGTTTTGGGTGGGGGGCCAACATTTGCTAGAAGGGACAGGGCTTGAGGAACAGCTTGGAGTTACGGTTCTAGGTCTTATTTTGAGTCACAGACCTCTTCGAGGGCAGGAGTTTTAAACCTAGGGAACCTATGGGTGGCTGTTGGGGGCCTATGAACCTCCTGAAACCATCTACAAAATCCACCTGTGTGTGTATGTTTCTGAACAGAAAATCCAGAACTTTCTATCCATTCTGTAAGGGTCTCTGTCAAAAGGTTTTAGCCATTGTTCTAAGAAGTCTACAACCTTTGTAGTAGCAGGAAGAGGAAAGGACTCAAAAAAACTTTAGATGGGCCGGGTGTAGTGGCTCACACCTATAATCCCAGCACTTTGGGAGGCCAAGGGAGGTGGATCATGAGGACAGGAGTTCAAGACCAGCCTGGCCAATGTGGCAAAACTGCGTCTCTACTAAAATACAATAATTAGCTGGGCGTGGTGGCACACACTTGTAATCCCAGCTACTCCAGAGGCTGAGGCAGGAGAATCGCTTGAGCCCAGGGGGCGGAGGTTGCAGTGAGCCAAGATCATGTCACTGCACTCCAGCCTGGGCAACAGAGGGAGACTCTAT